TGAAGACTGAAGCAAAGAAATCATTTAGTTTCTCCGCAATGGCTTTATCGTCCTTGATTGCTCCTTTTATAGCTCGATCATCTAGGGGACCCACAGGTTTTTTAGCAGGCTTCCTGCTTCTAATGTACTTAAAAAACATTTTGTTATTTCTTTTTGAGTTTTTGGCTAGCTGTTCCTCAAAATCTTTTTTTGCTTTTCTTATTACATTTTTACGCTTGATTTGATAGTGTTTATGTTCCTTTCTATTTATCTCACTAGGATTGGACTTCCATTTCTTAAAAGATACCTTTTTTTCCCTCACTGCTTCTTTTACATGGTAGTAAAGCCACAGTGACTCTTTTTTAGGTCTCTTGCTATGTTTTTTTTAATTTGGGGTATATATTTAAGTTTGGTCTCTATTATGGTGTCTTTAAAAATTTTCCATGCAGCTTTCAGGGATTTGGCTCTAGTCACTGTGCCTTTTAATTTCTGTTTAACTCACCTCCTCTTTTTTGTGTAATTCCCCTTTTTGAAATTAAATGCCAGGGTGCTAGACTGCTGAGGTGTTCTTCCCACCACAGGAATGTTGAATGTTATTATATTATATATAATTCAAAATAGTGTTTTGCTACTTCGAAATAGCATGTCCATACTGATTGGATGCTGGATTGCATTTAAGGGCAGCTGAAATCGGTTCCAGCAGGGCATCAGGTCAGTAGTTACTTTGTGGGGCTGCTGTCTGAGGCTATCTGAAGCTCGTGCTTAAAGAGACCCTCCTGGACAGCCGGGTCTCAGCTTTCCCACTTGCTTGCCCACCTCGCTGATGGACAACAAAACGTTTTCCTCTCTGCCTGCTTTGGTTGCTCTCCTTTGGAACACCGCAGCACTCGGCACCATGGAGCCAGAGCTGCCCCAAGCACTCTGGTGCTCATGTTAAACGTCTTGCTGCAAGCCTGGCAGCAATTCCTGGAGGCTGCCTGGCACCTTCTGCTGCAGGCCAGCCCCCCTGGTCCTCCACCTGCCCCTCGTCCCCCAGGGCCCTGGAGGAATGGCACCTGGATGCCAGCATGCCATGGCAACAAAGCCAGATGCTAGACACACCAGTCAAATATCTCCTCAGACTACGTTAAGCTCAATGTCTTCATGCACTAGGGAAAAGGGGGAGATTGGCCTGACCTGACTTTCTCGGAGGAAGGAAAACCCAGCAACAGCTCAGCCTTTTCAGGGAAGGAGAGAGGGACAGGCTTGGTGAGAGGGAGAGAGGACATGCCGACTAAAAGGAGCCAGCATGAATAACTCTTCATCAAATTGACACAGAATTGCAGCCCCTTGGAAATCTGGTCTCTCAGTACTTTCCTGAGGCTTCTTTTCTTTGTTGGCAGTTACTGATAGAGTCACCAGGCTGTATATTAGTTGTTCAGGGGAGGATAGAGATGGGGGATGGTGTCAGAGAAAACCTGGGTGGTGTCCAGATGAGGGATAGTGTCAGAGAAAATCTGCTTCAGTGTGGTTCCTTTACCATCTGATGCATACCCCCACCCAGCCCGGAACATTTCATAGCATCCTAGGGCTGGGAGAGACCTCAGAAGGTTACAGAAGGTTATCCCCTGCCCAAGGCAAGACCCAACTAAATCATCACACCCAGGGCTTTGTCAAGTCAGGACTTGAAAACCTCTAGGGATGGTGATTCCACCCCCTCCCTAGGGAACCCATCCCAGTGCCTCACTGCCCTCCCAGTGAAATAGCTTTTCCTAATATCCACCTAGACCTCCCCCACTGCAACTTGAGACCATTGCTCCTTGCTCTGCCATCCGTCACTACTGAGAACAGCCTCTCTCCATCCTCTTTGGGACCTCCCTTCAGGAAGTTGAAGGCTGCTCTCAAATCCCCCCTCACTCTTCGCTTATACAGACTAAATAAGCCCAGATCCTTCATCCTCTCCTCGTTGATCAGGTGTTCCAGTCCCCTGATCGGCTGGCAATCCTCCTCCTAATACACCCTAATATGCCATTAGCCTTCTTGTATAAAAGGGCACACTGTTGACTCATATCCAGCTTCTCATCCATTGTAATCTCCAGCTCCTTTTCTGCTGAACTTCTACTTACCCAGTAGATAATTGGCTGTAACAATGTAACAATTACAGCCTGTAACTATGCTTGGGATTCTTCTGTCCCAAGTGCAGGACTCTGCACTTGTCCTTGTTGAACCTCATCAGTTTTCTTTTGGCCCAGTCCTCCAATTTGTCTAGGTCACTCTGAACCCTATCCCTACCCTCCAATGTATCTACCTCTTCTCCTAGCTTAATATCATCCACAAACTTGCTGAGGATGCAATCCATCCCCTCATCCAGGTCATTAATAAATATGCTGAACAAAATTGGTCCTAGAACCGATCCTTGGGGCACTCCACATGAAACAGACTACCAACCAGACATCGAACCATTGTTCACTACCTGTGGATCCTTACAGTCTAGCCAGCTTTCTATCCATCTTACAGTTTATTTATCCAATCCATACTTCCTTAACTTGCTGGCAATAATATTGTGGGAGACCATATCAAAAGCTTTGCTAAAGTCAAGGTATATCTCTTCCACTAACTTCCCCGTGTCCACAGAGCCAGTTACTCTATCCTAGAAGCTAATCAGGTTGGTCAGGCATGACTTGACCTTCGTGAATCCATGTTGACTATTCCTGATCACTTTCCTCTTTTCCAAGTGCTTCAGAATTGATTCCTTGAGGATCCCCTATTTGAGCTATGCAAATTACATAGCTTATTTTGAGCCAATTTCTAAATAGCTTATTCATAATTTGGCACTGTTTACCCAGCACCAAATTTTGAAATAACCCACTATTCCAAAACATCCCTTACTCCTCATGGAATTAGGTTTACGGTGACATCAAAATAGCGAGCCTATTATATTTTGAAATTATGGGCTTTCTGTTAAGATATGGGATAGCTATTTCAGGAGACTGGCGGTATCCCAACATAGTGCTGCAATGTAGGCATAAGCCTAGGGTACTGAAAATGTCTAACAGACATCCCCAGTTATTGAGTTGTTCTGAGATCGGGTATCAAAGATGGAGATTTGAAAACACATGCAGATCTATTCTTGTTTGGAACTCCTTGGTAACATAGGCAGACTGATGCTGCACCAAAGGAGGCTAGTGTCTATCCGGAGTGGCCCAATGAAGGCAAAATGTGGTAACAGTATCTGACCAGTGCGTGACCTATTCTTGTTTGGAACTACTTGGTAACATTGACAGCCACTGAGAAGCCATTGGCTGCACTTCCTAACAGGAGAGAGGGTGTCAGGAAAAGCTTCCCTCAAGATGGCTTCCTAGGACTGCTCCAAAGTACACCGCATTAGCTAAACTTTGACAATGTCTTCAAAGTGTGTAGGTCATTTCTCTTATACTTTAATAAATCTCTTCTATACTAGGCAAATAGGCACATGATTTTCATCTGCTTATCCTTTCATTCTCACTCATATATGTGTCTGTCCCCTCCTCCCATTCTGATGAGCAGAAACTGCTAGCTAGATTTTAACCCTGAATTTAAAAGCCTTCACTCCAATTAACCTTTAAATATATGGTGTTTCATCTCATTAAGGCATATTGACTGAGTGTACATCATACACTTGTCATTGGCTTGATCACATTCTGAGATACATAGCCTTCAAATTGAGGGTAACACAATCCAGTTCTCAAAAACACACCTTTTCGCAAGTCTTACCTATAAGCGCTATCAGAATTTCCTCAATTCCAACAGCTGCTTTCTTATATTAGCACATTTCAAAGGAAACATTGGGTTTATCTTACAGGTTTCCTGAAGCATTCGCAGTGAAACACCCAGATGAATTTTAGTCTCTACATCACTGAACATGTGATGAAGACTTTCAGCCATTCAGTTTCTTTCTTTGTCCTTGTCTTTCAGAAAGCATGGCTTTAGTTTGGTGACCTGGTCAAGAACCATGTTTGCTCAGGACCTAATGCAAAGCCACTTTATGCCACGAAGTTGCAGTATCTGCTTTTGGTGTGGAAGTTCCGTAAAGACTAAGTGAAACGATATGCGGTGGGTGAAGTCTGAAGGGTGACCCTGGAAGAGATCAAATGATGGTGGGGGACAGGGAACTCAGAAACAGATCACGGTGCTTTATGATGAAGTGATCCGTCACTTGGTGGGAGCAACTTCTCCGACAACGAAATTCCACAATGTTGAGCTCAGCCAAACTGGAACAGAGCATCCTTTCTGCACAAGATGTCCTTTCTTCATCTTGGCATGCAGGGTTAAAGGCAGTGGCCCACAGCAATCACATTCGGCAGATGTATTTGCCCACTTCACCACGAAGCTCTTTGGTTTTAACCCCATAGATGATAGGATTGAGCATGGGAGGGACGAGGAAGTGGAGGATGGCCAAGTTGATGTGAATGTGGGGAGAGATGCCCTGACCGAAGCGATGCGTGATGGTGGAGAAGAGGAACAAACTACAAGATAAGAGCATCACACAGATGTGGGCGGTGCAGGTGTTGAGGGCTTTCTGGTGGGCTTCCTTGGAGGAGATTCTGAGGATGGCCCTGGCGATCAGACCATACGACAAGGCAACGAGCATGAGGTCAAATCCTAAGATTACAATTGCTATTGCCAAGCCATACACCCTGTTCACTGTGGTGTCCCCGCAGGAGATCTTCGCCACTGCCATGTGCTCGCAGTACGTGTGGGGGATAAGGCGGTTGGCACAGAACGGCAGCCTGCTCAGGAGCAGGGGTAGGGGCAGCATGAAGAGAACAGCTCTTGTCAAACCCACCAGCCCTAGCTTAGCAATGCGGGCGTTGGTGAGAATGGTGGTGTATCTCAGAGGGTTACATATGGCGACGTAGCGATCGAAGGCCATAGTCATGAGAACAGCTGACTGCATCACAGAAACTGCATGAAGGAAGAAGGTTTGGGTGAGGCAGCCCCCCAGAGTAATTTCTTTCAAATTGAACCAAAATATACATAAGGCCTTTGGCATAACGGAGGTAGATGTGGCGATGTCAGTGAACGCCAACATGCAAATTAGCACGTACATCGGCTTGTGCAGGGGCTGCCCTTTTCCTACCACAAACAGAAGAGTGAAATTTCCCAACAGGCCAATCATGTAGCATGTAGCTAAAGGGATGGAAATCCAGGCGTGAGCAGCTTCCAGGCCAGGGATTCCCACGAGGATGAATGTTGACGGGCCAGAAGGAGTAAGATTAAGAGCTGTCATGAGGCACTCGATGTGTCAGTAAAGTTCAGACTTTGAAGAAAGAGCCTGTGAAGGGAGAAGAACACAGTGAGGGGCATTACGCACCTTCTAAAATATCCCTAGGAATATTTTAGAGTTATCACCAATCTAGAACAGGGATTAAGCAGGGAGGTGGCAACATTTACAGATGGCTCCAGATTCTTGAGGTCAACAGTGAAGTCCAGAAAAGTCCTCGGAAAGCGTTTATCAAGCCAGATGAATCAGCCACATGATGTCAGATGAATTTCATTGTCAGAAACTACTATCTGTATGCCAGCCGGAGGGAAAAAGCTTGACCTCCAACACATAACAAGATTCAAATGTAAATGTACAAATTCAGAAGAGAGACGGGGTATCATGCCACACAGCACTGTGAAACCCTGCTCACAGTACGAGCCTGGACAGAAACTCAGCAAAATATTTGCATCCAGAGTGGGATAGGAAAGCAAACAGAAATTACAAAGCCATGAGATCTGTCAGTAACATGTTTCACCCACCTCTGGACTCTTTCATGTAGTACCTGGGATCTTTCTCATGCAGAGAATTGCAAAATTAGAAGGGTACAAACAAAGATAATGAGACTGATCAAAGGTCCCGGGAAACTCTCATAAGAAGAGAGAAGTTGAAAAAAATGGGATTGTTACCTTACGAAGGAATTCAATTAGAAGGGACATAAAAAGGTCTACCAAATACTGACTGAGGGAGAGTGTAGATTGAGAACGTGTTCTCCCTGTCTCGTAACACACGATCAAGAGAGAATTTCTTTAAGCTGAAAGGGAGCAAATTTGAAACAGAAATAAAAAGGCTTTCTTCACCCAAGAATTAGACTCAATTAGACTGGGGAAGTCTTTGTTACAAGATGTAGTTGAGGACATCAAGACATGTTTATTTATTTATTTTATTGAAATATGTTTCCTCATCTCTCTATTTAAATATTGGAGCTGGCTTACATTTTTTAAAAAACACAATAAATAGATATATAAAGGTTTGGACATATCCATAGATAGTGATTCTATATAGCTTCAATAACTACAGCAGAATAAATATTTTGGAAACCTTTTGTTTCAGGGCATCAGCCACTGTCTCTCTTTTAGTCATAAGAACATAAGAATGTAAGAACAGCCATACTGGGTCAGACCACTGATCCATCCAGCCCAGTAGCCTATCTGCTGACAGCGGCCAATACCAGATATCCCAGAGGAAGGGGATACAACAGGTAATGCTCATGTGATCCCTCCCCTGTCACACACCTCCAGAGAAATGGATGCTAGGGACACCATTCCTACCTATCCTGGAAAATAGCCATTGATGGACCTAACCTCCATGAATTTATCTAGCTCTTTTTTGAACCCTGTTAAAGTCCTAACCTTCACCACATCTTCTGGCAAGGAGTTCTAGAGGTTGACTGTGCACTGAGTGAAGAAGAACTTCCTTTTATTTGTTTTAAACCTACTGCCTATTAATTTCATTTGGTGACCCCTAGTTCTTATATTGTGGCAATATGTAAATAACTTTTCCTTATTCACTTTTTTCACACTCGCCATGATTTTATAGACTCTATCATATCCCCCCCTTAGTCTCCTCTTTTCTAAGCTGAAAAGTACAAGTCTTTTTCATCTTTCTTCACATGGGACCCATTCCAAATCCCTAATCATTTTTGTTGCCATTTTCTAAACCTTTTCCAATGCCAGTGTATCATGGTTTTATATAGAGTCAATAGGATATTCCCTGTCTTATTCTCGATCCCTTTTTAAATGATTCCTAATATTCTATTTGCTTTTTTTTTTTTGCCTGCTGCTGGCCACTGAATGGGTATTTTCAGAGAACTATCCACAATGACTCCATGATCTCTCTCTTGAGTGGTTGTAGCCAAATTATTGTTGTATGTAAATTAGTCCCCATTATATTGTATTATATTGCAGTCATTAGAGTGACACCCTCTGGACTGTCAAATAACCACCCCACACATTCACTTACTGCTGGGTTTCTTACTTCTTCTGCAGGGCCTAGGGCTGCCACTGTCAAAGAGAGGATACTGAATGAGCTGGACTCATGAGTCTGATGCATAATGAAATTCCTATATTGAAAAGGAGCCGAGTTTCCCCCATGGAAACAGATATGGTCGTGCATGCCTATAACATGGTGCTCACCAGAATGGGCATGAAAGCCAAAAGGGTCTTGGTATTTAGGGCTACAGGGCCTCACATTTTCTACTTTCCATGTTTGTTTTGGGTAGATGCTTTCTTGCAGACACCCAGCTTTCTCTGACACGTGAGTTACAGGTGTGAACTGATACGAGTAAGCAGAGAGATGTGCCAATAACTCAGCTGGTTACCCTTCCCATGACTGAGGCTTGCAGATGACACAAAAGTAGGGGGATCATAAATAACAACGTGTACATGTTACTGATTCAGAGCCATCTGGACGGGTGGGTTATCTGGGTGAAAGCAAGCAACATGTGTTCTATATAGATAGCTACCACTAGGAACAGAGAATGCAGGCGATGTTTGCATGATGGAGGATTCTAGTTGAAGCACAATGATTCTAAACAAGATTTGGGGACACAAAGGGATAATTAGCTAAACATGAGCTCCCAATGTGAACATAGAATCATAGAATCATAGGACTGGAAGGGACCTCAAGAGGTCATCGAGTCCAGCCCCCCGCCCTCAAGGCAGGACCAAGCTCCGTCTACACCATCCCTGACAGATGTCTATCTAACCTGTTCTTAACATGTGGCAGGCAAAAGAGCCAATGTTGCCCTTGGGTGATAACTAGAATCATAGAATCCCAGGACAGGCAGAGACCTCAGGAGGTTACCGAGCCGAGCCCCCTGCCCAAAGCAGGACCAATCCCAACTAAATCATTCCAGCCAGGGCTTTGTCAAGCCGAGACTTAAAAATCTCTAGGGATGGAGATTGCACCCCCTCCCTAGGGAACCCATCCCAGTGCTTCACCACCCTCCTAGAGAAATAGTTTTTCCTAATATACAACCTAGACTTCCCCACTATAACTTGAGACCATTGCTCCTTGTTCTGTCATCCATCACTACTGAGAACAGCCTCTCTCCATCCTCTTTATAACCTCCCTTCAGGTAGTCGAAGGCTTCTATCAAATCCCCCCTCACTCTTCTCTACTGCAGACTAAACAAACCCAAATCCCTCAGCCTCTCCTCATAGGTAATGCGCTCCAGCCCCCTCATCATTTTGGTCTCCCTCTGCTGGACCTTCTCCAATATGTCCACATCCTTTCTATAGTGGGGGGCCCAGTCTTGGACTCAATACTCCAGATGTGGCTTCACCAGAGCTGAATAAAGGGGAATAATCACTTCTCTAGATCTACTGGCAGTGCTCCTCCTAATGCACACTCCTTGCCAGAGGAGGCTGTGAAGGCTAGGACTATAACAGAGGTATCAGGTTTAAAACTAATAAAAGAAAGTTCTTCTTCACACAGCCTGTAGTCAACCTGTGGAACTCCTTGCCAGAGGATGCTGTGAAGGCTAGGACTATAACAGAGTTTAAGAGAAGCTAGATAATTTCAGGAGGTTAGGTCCATAAAAGGCTATTAGCCAGGGGATAAAATGGTGTCCCTGGCCCCTGTTTGTCAGAGGCTGGAGAGGGATGGCATGAGACAAATCGCTTGATCATTGTTTTCGGTCCACCCCCTCTGGGGCACCTGGCGCTGGCCACTGTTGGCAGACAAGATACTGGGCTAGATGGACTTTTGGTCTGACGCAGTACGACTGTTCTTATGTTCTCATGTTCTTATGCTCTCTAACACATCCACATCCTTTCTGTAGTGGGGGGCCCAGAACTGCATGCAATACTCCAGATGTGGCCTGACCAGTGCTGAATAAAGAGGAATAATCACTTCTCTAGATCTCCTGACAATGCTTCTCCTAATACACCCTAATATGCCATTCACTTTCTTGGCTACAAGGGCATACTCTTGACTCATATCCAGCTTCTCATCCACTGTAATCCCCAGGTTCTTTTCTGTTGAACTGCTACTTATCCAGTTGGTTCCCGTCCTGTAACAATACTTGGGATTCTTTCTTCCCAAATGCAGGACTCTGCACGTGTCCTTACTGAACGAGCGGAATTTCAAGGAGAGGTAGAAAAATGATTGTGCCTCTGTGTTTGGCATTGGTGTGGTGGATGTTGTAATCCCATGTTGAATCCTGATGTCCATATTCAAGGTGGATGTTGCCAGACTGAAGAGGATTCAGAGAAGAGTCACAAGAATTATCTAATGATTAGAAAACATGCCCTATACTCACAGACTCCAAGAGTTCAGCCATCTTTGTTAAACTAAATAGATTAAGAGTCTCAGAGGGAAGCCATGTTAGTCTGTAACTAAAAACAATGAGTAGTTCTGTGGCACCTTAGAGATCAACAAATATGTATAGTATCATGAGCTTTTGTGGGCAAAACCCACTTCTTCAGATGAGATGATCTTAAGAAGTTTAAGTGGAGACTTATTAACAGTCTGTGAGTATCTGCATGAGAACAAATGTTTAACACCTCATTTACATCAAAAGCTAAGTAGGGGACACTTGCAGCTCAATCAATTAGCCTCATTAGCACTGGTACTATGTTGACAAATAAGAGTTCCCGCTATAAAATCTAGGTTCCTGTTTTATCCACTCCATCCCGTCTTAAGAAGTGGGTTTTGTCCACAAAAGCTCATGAAACTATTTATAGTTTTGTTACTTTCTAAGGTGCCAGACGACAACTAATTGTTTTTCCAAATTTCAGACTAACACAGCTACCCCGATAAGCAGGGCTTGCTGAATCGCGGTGAGCCCCGCTCGCCAGCCACACTGTCTGGTGTTTTGCGCATGTGCAGATCACCTGAAACTGGCTCTTCCAGGTTGCAATCTACTTGCCTGTGGCGAGTAGATTGTATTATTTGTCGAGCCCTGTCTATGAGAATATTTAATAACAGGTTTTTCAGCTTAGTATGCAGAGGTGTCTATCTAA